GAAACAAGTGTCAACACTTTCTAAGCTTCGGATCTAGATGAATGTATCCAAGTATTAGTGTCCAAGATGTACTGACAATGTTCTTATTTCGTTTACGAAGATACAACCCACGCGGCAAGACGTCTGTACATTTTGTACACGGTATGTTCTGTTCACATTGTTTGTCAATTATGTACATGTACAAAACTGGTGTGTAACGCCTAGAGGCGGTTTACCGGTTATGCGAAACAAACAAACAAACAAACAAACAAACAAACAATTCATTGCATACATGTACATATGGAGGGCATTCGTACATGACTGTAAGGCGATTGGCATGACTGAGAGGAAATAGGTATAAATAGGTTTGTTTAATAACAGATTTTAGTCAACATCCCTAATACCCTGGGTGCCAGCCAAGTTTACAGGCCGCTAACCGTTTTTTTCGGCAGCCAGAATCTTCGCCCACAGAGGAGTATATCCGCCCTCCAACTGGTTAGGAGGGCGGCCAAACTCCCCCTGGGCTAGACTCCCCCGTAGCGGTAAGTTAGACCGGCGGGCGAAAGGTGCAGCCGGAAACGAGTTCTGGCATCCAGGGTACACCACTAACCACCAGACTGCCTGCTACCGTTTGTAGGGTGTGGGTCAGTGATGACGGCCGCCAGCCGAGTAAAGGAGTTCTACAGCAACAGCCCGTTTGACGAGGACAGCGAGTGCAACCTCCACATCATCGACAAGCCCTGCGGGATGATCGCCCCGGGATACCGATTCAACCTCGCCGGCGGGGCCGAGTTGGAAGTAAGCAACAGTTACACGAACGCAACCTTTTCTAATAATAGCGGCTGCGACCGCCGAGCACCCAAAACTTTTGATGCAACAGATCGCAAAACAAGACTGGAAATGAAAACATACATTGCCATGGCGACGGTGGTTGCTGTTAGGGTTATTATTTTCATGATTTTGAGGAATACTTGGTACCTATACAGATACAGTGCACTCCTCCCCTGAGTGTACAGTGAACGAGCCCCGGGGTCTTTCTGTGAGTAGGGCATCTGGGGAGAGAGGTCTTAGGTTTCCAGGAATGTGGGCATAGATGTGGGTCAGAGACATGCCTGTGGACATTCCATTCCTGTGGACAAAATGCCTGTACGATTCCTATAATTCTTGCAAATTGCACACAATACTGTACCATTAGGCTCCTCCCCGAGACGTCGCCAAAAAAACGAATTTCTATAAAAAATTAATTCACACCTCATTTTCTTTCAAATATAAGAATACCTTTGAATCGTAGGTCTTAGTCCAATTTTGAAATCAAGTGTCACGCAAATCCAATTTAGGCCTGAAAACAACATGGTCAAAATGCCACCGTTTTTTTTTCATTGTTAGTTCAACGCCGGCCCCAAGAAGAAGTACTTTGTGAGCAGACATACCAACACCACTGGGGCGCTGCAGTCTGGAGTACCAGACGTCCACGAAGCGTACTTTGACCTTACCACTGGATCTCAGGCCGAGGGACAACATCTTCGGATAACGTGGCTGACCTGGGACGTCAAGCGTATGTCATCCTTTCCCACTCTATTATTTACCTGACAAACCGTGTATCAATAGTTGTATATGTTCGTACATCTACAATCAAGAAGCGAAAGTTTAACCTGTAAATAGTACTTTACATTAGTCATGTATTAGTTTAAGTAAGACATTACTGTAACTTTTTCCAGTTTATTCATTACTTGTGCTTTAAGCTTGTAAGAGTATAGACGTACAATAGATGTCGAATACTGAATTTGTGAACAGTGTTTCACTTACTTCGGCAGTTCACTGTCCATATGGATGGCGGGTTTGGGGAGACTCCTGCTACTATTTCGGAAGGTCCGACGTTTCCTACGAGACAGCGGTTTCAGCTTGTCATAACATGGCAGGTCAGTGTGTAGAACATCTTCTCATGCCATTAGGCCACGGCAAGTAAATTTTATGGATGACATCCTCCGCAGACTCCAAATCTAATGCGAGCGGGCGAAAAAAAACAAGGCGGGCCGAAAAAAACAAGGTTCCTACAATGTGACATTTTGACTCAATCATTGTACAAATGGTTTTGATTCAGTAGGAACATCACATATACACAGCCAGCATCACATATCACTGCATCAAAGTAAGAAACAAACATTAAATCGGAGCCTTTTCTTGTCTCCTCTCTTCCTAGTTATCTGCCATCCACCTTCCGGCATGGCAACAGACACCTTTGCCCATTTTCGGCATGTTGACCACTGTCAGAAGGCAACAAAAGTTCTTTTTTTTTTCTCCAAAATCAGGCGAAAATTAATGCGCGCGCGGATGTCATCCATAAAATCTACTTGCTATGGCCTTATCACCGCGTATCGAGAAAAGGCCCTGGCTAGCTGCGTGAAGGGTTGCTGCATACGCACTCCTATGTCTGCACACATTAGACATTGTTTCTGTAGAGACCAAATTGACATAGCCTGTTCAGATCATGCCGCTAGTAGCAGCCCTTCCACTAGTCAGACACCCAAAATCTTGATGGCTGTGAAAAAAAAACACCTCAAAGTCAGGAGAAAAAGGAACATCTTGATCCTGTAGATTCGTGAATATGTGCTAACATGGACCAATAATGGTCTGACTGAAATATGTCTTATATTATATACATTTACCATAGTGTTAGAGGCTGTGTTGACTGGATTCCATATTCCATTCCATAGTGATGAAGAATACATACTGAGCTCTTATTGGACTGATTTTCCAAGTGATTAAGAACCCTGATTTCCTATTGGTAGTTCTGAGAATGGCGGAATGGTTCTCTCGAGTTAGAGGTATACTGTCACAAATTCTCGGGGAGGAGTTCAAATCAGCTGCTCATGGCAGCGATATAGATTTTGTGACACAGGCTAATAATAAAGTTGGCGTGTTAACTTTTCATTACCTTTTTTTTCTGTCTTACCAGCTCACGTGGTTGAGATCAACAGCGAAGCTGAGCAAACGATTCTCGGCGCCATCACGGCAGCCAGAGACGGTGACAGATACTGGGTCGGACTGCGGTTCTCTCAGGTGCTTCTTAGAAGTCAACTTTTTTTTTACTTAGTGGTCGCCACGTAACACAGCCGTTAGGCCACTTCAAGGTGAACGGTACTAACCACCTGAATGGTATGATCCGCTAACCTGGGTTACGGGTTACCGAGTAGAACTGTAACAGCAACTCTTCTCCCTGAGTCAGAAACATCGTGATTGAGACCAGCCCAATTTCTCACAAGTAGTGAGGACTAACTGACCCAATAGGAGAAGCAGGGGTGACGAAGGCCGGTCGGGAAATTTCCCTACCCCATTTTCCGTTACAAAAAGTATTTGTAACCGTTAGAGTATAAACTATGTTCTTATTCAGTTCATTAGCCACGAAGGCTTACTATCCTCTGACACTCAAACTGTTGGCCATGGATCGGCTTGGTTCCCCCCACCACTCTCACCCCCCTTCTGTTCTATTCTACATGTTTAAGTGTTTAAGTTTTAGGCCACAGCAAGTAAATTTTATAGATGACACCCTCCTCAGACTCCGAAACTAATGCGAGCGGGCGAAAAAAACAAGGTTCCTACATTTTAAAATTCTGACTCAATCGTTGTTCAAATGGTTTTTATTCAGTGCGTGGGAACATCACATATACAGAGCCAGCATCACATATCACTGCATCAAAGTAAGAAACAAACATTAAATCAAAGCCTTTACTTGTCTCCTCTCTTCATAGCTATCTGCCATCCACCTTCCGGCATGGCAACAGACATCTTTGCCCATTTCGGCAAGTTGACCACTGTCAGAAGGCAACAAAATTTCTAATTTTTTTTCAAAATCAGGCGAAAATTAGTGCGCGCGGATGTCATCCATAAAAATTACTTGCTGTGGCCTTAAAACGGGATACGAACAGATTTTTCAGATTCTTTCAGCTTGCATTTCCTTCAAATTACATCCTCCTCTCTATCCGTGACATTTTAGCTTTCATCGGATTGCCACTGTTCATTGCCATTCGGCAATCACAGTCAATGCGAAACACGATCCTTTATTTGACACATTGATTGCTATCTAATCTTATTTTTCTTCTCACCTTCTCACCCGATTGCCTGTAGACCATACATGGTCTGTCAGTTGAGAGTCCCAATCAGAGTTCTCCAAGCTGTGCTTATTTTTTCTGATGAACATTATTCCTCGTTTCACATTCTACGTACAGTCCAAGTCCTGGTACAACTGGTGGCACCAAGTTCCTCTGGCTGCGCAGTCGTCCTGGTGGTCTCCTGGCACCGACCAAACGGCGGCGTTCGGCAGCGACACCTGTGTCATCATGGGCCGAACTGCAGGGTTCAAGTGGACAACTCAGCACTGTGGCCTGAACTCGCGCGTCATCTGTGAAATCGACGGTTTGTTGTTGAAATTACTGAGAATGTTAATTGCAGCTTGGACATTTTCTTCATGTTATCCTTTGTTCTAATGTGGCGCATTGCTCTGAACTGGTGAGTTACCGCTTGTTTTTTTTTTTTCGTTCACGACAGGAATGGCCTGCGGGACGATTTCCCTGATCAACCGCACGTTTTACGCCGACGCCCGTCCCTGGATGGACCTGGATTTCGGTCGGGAGGTGTACGTGGCCGCGATAGAGACATCGGGCGACGTGAGCACCAACTCCTACACTAAAGCCTACAGTCTTCAGACAAGTTCTGACGGGGTGGTGTACAACAACCATGGAGCCGGCTCTGAGCCGTGTACACGTCTTAAGGTAACGCAGAGGACGACTTTACATATTTGACATTGAGTAAATAATTGCTTCAGATTGAGTAAATAGATAAATAATACTAACAACATGCAAACGTTATTGGAATCATCTTTCATTCCAACCCCCTATTTTATATCACTTCCTTGCTTGCTTGCTTGCTTCCTTCCTTTGCAAGATATTCGAACGAGAAACACAGAAAAACTCAAAATAATTCTCGAAGATGATACATCTTCGTGAACTTTTTTTTGTCCGTTTTTTTTTTCAGGTGTATCAAGCCAATACTGAACCAAGAACAACTGTCCGGACCTTTATAGAACCACGCATTTCCGCGAGGTACCTGCGAGTCATTCCGGTTGCCTGGTTCGGCCGTCCGACACTGACCCTGGGCGTGCTCGGATGTGAAAGTGCGCTGATCGCTGCGAGACGTGAGTACTGACCTATAATGTCTTACTGTCGTACGAATGTAGTTACTATGGTTACATAATATGGTCCATGGTCACACCCTCTGAAGTGCGTTACAGAGCCGTTAAATAAATTTGATGTTCCACTCTGTCGGTCTGCACGTCACAAGAACTCACCAATTCCTTTTTTAGTTGAACTGTTAAATGCCAAGTAATGAATATAGTACTTGCGCTCAGACTTCACTTATCTGTCGTGTCTGCAGTACCTTATACACTGAGTGACACAGCGGCACAGACGTCTTCTCTTCTGTGTTTTATGATATATTTTAATTTGTAATGTTATGTAATGTATTATATTTGTAAACGAAAGCGCATTTTACTTAAGATGATTGTCTGTAATCTTATTAACGTTTCCCGAATATTGTAATGAGCAACACAATTCAGACTTAAGTCTGCGAGTTGTTTAATAAAGACTGAATTAAATTGAATTAAATTGAATTAAAAGGTGTTGTGGAACGGTCTTTTTCTCTTTCGTGGAAAAACGTTTCGTGACGTGTTTTTGATCACACATATAAGTGTTTTTGAAAACGCAGCATGTAAAGCTGGCCTGCGTAATATTTTTTCCCGAACACTGCGTGCATCGAATTCATTCACGTTCTTTGCTTCCAATCCCAGACCCGGGAACCGTCATGGGAGTTTTCTCTGAGAACGTCCTGTTGGATTTCGCCGCCACCCATCATCACTGTTCAAAGTACCACTGCAGGATGGCGTCCTTCAGCGAGCTTCGCGCCGCGTTTCTAGCGGGCATGAGCAACATTAGGCTTTCATGGCAGACCGACCAGAGAGGCAGATACCTCATCGAACGCGTCACTAGGGGCTCGGCTTATTCAAACAGCGGGATCATCAGTTGGGGTCGTCTATCTGCCTCAAGTCGACGTGCAGTCCTATGTATGCAGCCCATGTCAGAAAGTAAGTGATTTTTTTGGCGACGTCTCAAGGAGTAGCCTAATGGTACAGTATTGTGTGCAATTCGCAAGATACGAAGGACGAAAACGACAAAATTTGTGCTCAACGAAGGAATTGAATTCAACAGAGAAGAGACTAATTTCAACAGAGAATGAGCAACAGCGAAGGGGCTGTGCTCAGCGAACGTCCTGTGCTCAGCGAACGCACTGTGCTCAGCGAAGGGGCTGTGTTCAGCGAAGGCACTGTGTTCAGCGAATGTCCTGTGCTCAGCGAACGCGCTGTGTTCGGCGAAGACGCTGTGTTCAACGAATGTCCTGTGCTCAGCGAAGGGGCTGTGCTCAGCGAAGGGGCTGTGCTCAGCGAAGGACCTGTGCTCAGTGGAGGCGCTGTGTTTAGCGAAGGGACTGTGCTCTCAGTGTTGATGCCCTAGTTGATGCCCCAGTTTTTTTCCCACCAAACCCAACTTGGGTTTGGTGGGAAAAAAATCAGTGCAAAAGAGAAACCCCGATAAAAAAGCCTAAACACACACTAAAAATACCCCCAAAACCCAAACCTCTGCTTGGAGAGTACAGTTTTAGTACAATGGTTTGGGCGATCCCACGCAGTATGACTACAAACACATGGTTCGCGTCACCTTCAAAACACTTTAGGCGAGAGTCAATTAAAACAAGAGGTCGAAAGGTTTGCACTGTATGTATTATTCACACTCAGTCAGCAAGTACATTATACATTCTGTACAGTGTCCTTGTTCATAGTTAGTGTGGCTGTAAACCCTATCATCCAAAATTTACAAATGCGGATAACCGATCTAATTTAAGCCAAGCTATATCATTTTGGAATGCGGTACTTTTTTTGAAGTGACGTGATCCATGTATATGTTTTCATAGTGCGTAAGAGCTAGCTCCAAGGAGCCAGTAAAACAGTTAGGAGAAGCCAGCTGGGAGAAGCCAGAAGGGCTGCACTGTTACTTTCCAAGCAGAGGTTTGGGTTTTGGGTTATTTGCGTGTTTGTAGGCTTTTTAACGAGGTTCTTTTTGGGTGAAAAGAAATTCCAGTGCAAAAAAGAAACCCCGATAAAAAAAGGCTAAAATTAAAGGTAGAGGTTAGAGAGTAGAGGTAGAGAGTAGAAGTTTGGGTATGCACTGTGTGTATCATTCACAGTGCAAGGGGCCGTAATAAACCAAAACACTCTCCAAGATTTACAAATACAAATAGACTGTGTATATGTATCTGTTCGTCTTGTCTTGTTTTGTTGTGACCTATACCAAGGGTGGCGAAATGCCCAATAAAGGTCGTTATTCATTCCTCTATTCTATAACAATCATCTTGAAAGTTCATGATTGTTATTTTGAATCCGGTTGTTGCATAAATTGTAGGACTGTCGGATAAATTGTAGGACTGTCGGGCCTGATTGGAAAAGGAAAAAATTGTGCGATATCTTTTATAATTAGGGATGTTAGGGCATCAACACTGAGAGCACAGTCCCTTCGCTAAACACAGCGCCTCCACTGAGCACAGGTCCTTCGCTGAGCACAGCCCCTTCGCTGATCACAGCGCCTTCGCTGAGCACAGCGCCTTCGCTGAGCACAGTACGTTCGCTGAGCACAGCCCCTTCGCTGAGCACAGCCCCTTCGCTGAACACAGCGCGTTCGCTGAGCACAGCCCCTTCGCTGAGCACAGTACGTTCGCTGAGCACAGTACGTTCGCTGAGCACAGTACGTTCGCTGAACACAGCGCGTTCGCTGAGCACAGCCCCTTCGCTGAACACAGCCCCTTCGCTGAGCACAGTGCGTTCGCTGAGCACAGGACGTTCGCTGACCACAGCCCCTTCGCTGTTGAATTTAGCTCATTCTCTGTTGAAATTAGTCCCTTCTCTGTTGAATTCAATTCCTTCGTTGAGCACAAATTTTGTCGTTTTCGTCCTTCGTAGCAAGAATTTTAGGAATCGTACAGGCATTTTTTCCACGGGAATGGAATGTCCGCAGGCATGTCTCTGACCCACATCTATGCCCACATTCCTGGAAACCTTTGGGAAGACCTCTCTGCCCCGGATGGCCCTACTTTCTGTGACCCCGGGGCTCGTTCACTATACACTCAGGGGAGGAGTGCACTGTATCTGTATAGGTACCAAGTCGTCCTCAAAATCATGAAATGATGGCAGTGCCACGCAAACAATAACCTTAACAGCAACCACGGTCGCCATGGCAATGTATGTTTTCATTGCCAGTCTTGTTCTTTTTACAAACCCCGAAACGGTGTCCGACTCGGAAACGGTTACAAATATGTCCCACACTTCACCTATGTTCCGCTTATGCAAAGAATAGTTGGTGTCTGGTATTGTTGTAAGATATACCCGGTAGGATTATGGTCATCGCAACGATTTATTAGTCTGTTATTTCCTTTAAGTGTTTGGTTTTAAAGACATGGCCTTTCATATTTGGGTATGATTCTGGTAGTAAAGATTAGGCAGAGACATGCAGACTCAAAACTTTCTCCACGGAAACGTGTGTGTGTGTGTGTGTGTGTGTGTGTGTGTGTGTGTGTGTGTGTGGTGGTGGGTGTAACTGAAATATTGTTTTGGGTGGCTGAGTTGTGGGTTCGTTTGTCTGTTTGTCCAGACAAAGTTAGTTGACAACATGTGGGTCGCAGAATGACAGATCACAAAGTCAGACACAGAAAAATATGTGAACTTGAGGGTCACGCAAACCCAAAATACTTCTTCCTGGTAGTCTGAAATCTCCGATGTCGAAAGTCAACCAACTGAGGTATAATGAAGTGACTTAAAGTTGACGATATTTTGCATGGAGCCAACAACCTGCACAGGCTCTATAATTTTGCCTATCAGAACACGTCATGCACTCGATTAGCAAAGTACTTTCATCACAACCATTTATTTTTCACGAGACGACGTTTTGATGACCGTCTGTCATCTTCATCAGGACAATTCTGACTTGTTTACTGTGCACTGGCGCTAAATGTTACTTGGTGTATAGTGTACTAAAAGTCTTCACAGTGCACTGTTACTTGGGTCACAGTGCACTATGCACCAAGTAGTACACTATGCAAAGTAACATTTAGCGTTAGTGCACAGTAAACCAGTCAGAATTGTCCTGATGAAGATGACAGACGGTCATCAAAACGTCGTCTCGTGAAAAATAAATGGTTGTGATGAAAGAACTTTGCTATTCATTCGATTACCAACCTGATGAAAATAATTTACGGACGTCATACAATCGTTTGTTTAAAAAATTCTGACATTTCTTGTGTTTTTCTTTAAGAATTGGGATGTGCCACGCCCCTCGTTGCTAGGCAGCCATGTGCCTGGGATGACGTGACGCCTCGCGAGTGCGAGCTCCACGGGTGTTGCTGGGATCCGTACCCCGGGTACCCGAGCTGCTTCTACAAGTCAGGTCAGGAGGTTTCGTATCTTCCACTGGACGAAAAGATAGATTTCCAAGATTGTACACGTTGGTGAAACCCGACGTGCCCCAGTCGTGTACACGAGTTTTCACGGGTGATCCATTCCGGCGTGTCCTATGTAGGAAACCCGCGCACACAATGGGGCACGCGAAGTGTCCAAGATTTCCCACCGTTGGAAAACTCGCGGAAACCTTGTACGCGTGTACACAGATTTCCACGATGGAAATTTGGCTTTTCGTCCAGTGTTCGGCTTTACGTCCAGTATATTTACCATCAAACCGGGCAGCACACTTATTTCTTATAGGTCCCCTTACCAGTAGACCGTTGGGCGACTGTACAGAGAACAAAATTGGATTTGTATGAAAGTTCATCTGAGTTGGTAAATTACATTATGAAGAATCTAAACTGTTCTGTGACTCGTGAATTTCACTCACCGGAATTTTCGACTGAATCACTCAGTCTTCTTCAGCTATCTGGACTTGGACGTGATCTTTTCCACGTGTGACGTCAGCAAAGGGTCAAAGGTTGTCTGATAAGTCGATATCGCCCCCCGTCCAAGATTGGATTTGTGTGACTTTTGATTATAAAATTGGAATATGATGCAAAATGTAAAGGTGTTATTTACAAAACAACGAAAAAAACAACGTAAGACATTCGTTGCAGCCTCAAGTGGGAATGGGATGTTAGCATGGAGGTTTATGTATGACAATGTAGTAAACATACCACAGATTCTGGACTTAAGAAATAGCCCATCGATGTTTATAGACCCCGCCGTCTCCGTCGACGAACGTTTGATGCACAAACGTATTTGTTGTTGTTACGACTCAGCTGGTACAAACATCGCACTGGGGAAGAGGACGCATCAGTCGACAACACGTGACGTGGACGGTCCCTCGTGGCACGGCAATGACGGCGTCAGAACCACGAGCAGCTGCGACAGCGAGAACGGCGGCACGTGCGTCAAAACAGCGAACGCTTCTAGTCAAGGTTGGTGTGTTTGGTTCCATCTGTAGAGATTTCAGCGAGATTTAGTAGCCCGGGTGCCGTCCGATTTGTAGCTGGGCTTCGTCCAATTGTTGGCTAGAAGATGCAACGAGTGCAAGATGCCCCGTTAGAAATAGGATGGCACCCAGGTTAGATATTTTAGACTAAGTCAGTTTAATCAAAAGGGTTATCACTGCACGAAAACTTAGATTTACCAATGGCAGTAAACACCAGTTAAGTTGGGTAATGTTTACTTTGTTTTTAATAAACACTACTGTACAATGGTAGTAAATAAAAGTCAAGTACGGTAATTCTGGACTTAACAAGGGTTGTAAATACAATTACCTGACTTGACTTTTATTTAGTACCATTGTAAAGCCAGATACTATATGCAATGTAAACATTACATGAGTTTACAACCTTTGGTAAATCCAACTTTTCGTGTAGAGTTGGTACATGCGTTCGGTGTGGGAACTTAGATCTAGCGTTACTCATAAAGGCTGAGCTAGTTGAGATTCATAATCGCTAGTTTGGGCTAATTCAGAGTGGGCTAAACTGTTACAGAGACTATAAGGGATGTTGCTCTATTGGCATCATATCCATGTCAAAATTACGTAGTATTATTTGTGGTCAGCATAACTTAAGGAGGTCTTGGGAAGACAAAGGTCAAGGTCGCTCTTCCTGGCGGCTGTACTTTAAATTTGTTCTTCCGGTTTTTGTATCCTTTGCCCCGGACATGCTATGGCATCATTTCCGTGTCAAAATTACATACGTTTTCTTGTATTTCCGTCGATCTGGGCACAACCGTTCTATTTTGACGTCTTGGTTATTATGGCTTCACCAAACCACGAAGTGGTTTGTGAAACATATTGTGTTCCCTCATGTTTCTTCTCCTCCTTCTCCTTCTCCTCCTTCTCCTGCCATTTCTTTAAAGGGATTCAACTCAGCCAAATGACCTGAAATTTCAGCCAAATGACCTGAAATTTGGCATGGAGGTAGAGTGGGCAAATACCCCCAGGTGTTTTTTTTTCATTTTTTTTATACATGTCTTTGAAAGAAAATTATGAAGGTTTTTTGGGGCATTTTTCGACAAAAATTGGATTTTTGGATCCTGAGCCCTCATATTACAACTAAATGATTTGAAATTCGGTATAAGGGTACCTTGAACATGTGTCTACAAAATAGCAGTCACATATTTGGCATACAACACTTCCAAATAACTAATTTGGGAGACTTTAATGGCTATTTTCACCCCAAAAAAGGGCCCAAAGTCCCATACCCGTTCCACGTTCGATCTAAAGAATGGCCCGTTCTATCTGCCATTGGCCATGGAACACGTGTTCCATTTCGGGTTACCTGGGGTCACGTTGCACGTAAGTCGTGCAAAAATTACCCACATAGTGCTGTGTACCGGTTCGCTGAAAAGTGAAATGTGGTGAAGCCATGCTGAATTTGCTCCAAAGCAAATGTCGGCCTTTCTAGTATATATATATATATTTAAATCTCTGGAACCTTTGGAACGTGCGGCAGTACTAGATACAAAGAGGTAAGACCAACTAAATAACGTT